GATTATATTTATATTCTAAAAACAAAATGCCTAGATAATGCTGGCGGGCGCCAGTGTTATCAAAACACTTTACGGTAAGTGAAGATATTATTTATTTGCACTTCAAATGTCGATAAGGCGTTCGTGAAACTGTTACAATAGCGTTTGCGTTTCAAACGAGCTATTTAGCATGTTACAGGTGTTTTTATGATTTTTACGACTGGATAGTTCTTATTTTGTATTTTATTTTCAATCCGCGGTTGTTACTGCCTGGAATCAGGTGGCATGGACTTATTTTAAATAAGTATTTGAATTATTTAACTATCTGTTTCGTCGGCCTGTATCTAATGGCGCGATGTGTGATCTTTACTTATAACGAAAACGTAATGGCATACATGTATTTGTCTATAGCTTCATAATTGTCAAAATCTTTAATTTTGGAGTCCCCTTAATTAATTTTACCATGAGACATAGCGAGTATGGTAAAGAGTTTTGGTAAACAGTAACATTCAAGGCAATTTTTAATTTGTTTTTTATTTCATTTTTAGCACAAACTTTATGTACATATTTACTTTATGTATGAATGATATACAGAGTGTATCACCGTAACTATATGAACAAAATCGAAGGTCCAATGCTTAGTACCTATAAAAACATAGTTTATTTAATTGTATACGATTGTTTATAGATAAATTAATAAGCTACAACCCTAAACTGTTTAATTTTTTTTATTTTGACTTTTATAATCACTTGTAACAGTTAATCATGCTTATCATTAATTTCAGAAGTTGCAAGGTACTTTTTATTTTTCCATAACTTTATAATCAGCATTAAACATGATGATCTGGTGAATGATGTGATGGTCTTAATCACTTATTCTTAGTATGGCACTGATAATGTTTGATAAGAACTTTGCTATTTGACCTTCAAATTGTTGTTTTGAAACTTCATCCAAGGATAAATGATGATAACGTGATAATGCGCTGTGACGTAACCATAAACTTGTTTGCGAGCGAATGTTTGATTTATAGTGATACTAAAAATATAAAACGCCTCTGTTTGTATAAAACAACATTTTTAGAACTTTGGGTATCATTTTATCGAAGTGTATGTACGTGAATGGTATTCATGTTTTGAGTGTTATTTTAGAGCATCCCTGCTTTCTGCTGAAAATGTCATTTTACTTTGAAGGTGGTAATGTAGGTTTCTATTTTGATTTTCTTTTATAAATATTGGGTATAAATAGGTACATGTTTTTAGTTGTTATTTTTCCAAGAATTATATTAATTATGTATGTTGTAAATACCAAAATAATTAATGTGTTATTTTGGCATTTCTAATATTAGCTTTAAAAAAACATTAAGTTCTTTAGTAGTTTCTCATTAGGCAATTAAATTGTAGGTTTTTCCAGAGGTATTTCTTGGGAATTACAAGTAGTATTTTTCAAATTGCGGTAACGGAGCAGCCACATATAATTTTATCAGGTACCTACTTATTATTTTATCGATTTCGTAATCAATAAATAATTTTCAATTACTTGTAAAATACAGCAATAGGCGTTGTACACATCTAGCACGTGAGGTTGTTACAACATTAATATTTCGTGATATTGGCCAGACTCTTATTGGGTAATTAGACACGAAATGGATTAATAAAACAATATTCCTTCAGGGGGTTCTTTAATTTAACGAATCATATTGACGATGAATTCTTTAATACTTAGATAATGTTGTACATATACATATAATAAATTAACCGAACGAAGGAAGACGTAGAAGTCAGAAATTTTGAAGTCTGATTGAAATATTTTAATTGTTTATTTATTTATTTATTACATATATGTTTTCGTTCGTTTTCTTTAACTTTAAATTTTTATTTATAACT